CCGAGGCCAGCTGTGGCCGTGTGCAGGTAGGTGAGCGACGGCCCTTCAGATGAGCACGCTGGACACCGGGACCCGGGTGGAGCGGCCTCGCTGGGGCACCACGATGCGGTCATCTCCGGGCCCGGCCTCGTGCAGCAGACCTGTTGGGGGAGGGGTCAGAGCCAGGGTTGGAGGGCGGACAGACACAACGCCTGGGACACACGGGCGGTGGGAAATGGGTGGGGCCCCAGAGCTGTGGACACAGCGGGACACCAGCTTGTTGCCAGGCAGACCCGAACGGGATGAGGGAGGCCTGCGGGCCGAGAGGTGCCAGTTCACAGGACTGGACACACGGGCGGAGGAACAAGCAGGCAGCATCCTGACGTCGGGCAGGAAGCCCCACTGACCCTGCACATGCAGCTGCGCCCGCCGGCGGTCTCCCTCAATGAAGATGGCGGTGCCCAGGAAGGCCGCCCCGCCCAGCGCCCCGACAAAGGCGCAGAGCATGAGCGAGAACTGCAGGGCCCGGAACTCGGACAAGAAGGAGGGGGGCCAGTTCCGGCGGAGGCGGTCGGACATCTGTGGGGAGACAGGACAGAAAAGCAGGAGAAAGAGTCTTGGAAAGGGCGCCCCAAACTCCAGAAGAACAGAGACTGGAGCCGGGAAGGGAAGGGTGTCTGGCCCCCCAGGGAGAGGCCCAGGCCTCATGTGGAAACTCACGAAGACAAGTCCTTCCATCTGGCTGAGGACCCGAGGTGAGAGGAAGTCTAGCTGGGGCCTGGCCTTCCCATGCCGCCCAGGCTCAGGCCCTGGCCACTGCCCGCCAGCCAATGCTAGGAACCAGGGTGCCCGACCCCACCCCAGCCCAGCCAGAGGGCACTGCTCACCAGGCCGATGAGGTAGGGGCTCCCGGCGTCACCCAGCAGGTGGGCCAGCACAATCTGGAAGGCCTCGGCGGTAGAGCGCCTTGTAGGGATCACCATTTTTTTTCGGGGGGCAGGAGACAGGGCAAAGATAAGGCCAAGGCTCAGCCCAGGCGGAGGTCAGTGAACCCCAGCTCAGAGGTGTGCTGGGGTAAGGGTATGGCAGGCCAGACTGTAGGCCCATCTGGGGCTGGACAGTGAAGTCACGCTGGGGCCGGGTTTTGAAGACGGAGTAAAGGCCACAATTCAAGGCAAGTGAGGCCTCCCACACCCACTCCCTGCAGCTCTGAACCAAGCCGGGAACGGCCCACCTACTCACCAGCAGAATATCAGCCACAATGGCCCAGTTCATGGACAACAGTGTCTCCCCAATAAAGATGAAAACCTGGGGACCAGGGGGTGGGGAAAGCAGGGCTGAGCTCATCACAAGAGCAAACACATGGAGGCCCATCTACTAACTCATTTAGTCCTCACAACACCACTATGAAACAGGAGCCATTATCATTCCCTTTTTACAAACGGTGAAACGGCACAGAGAGGTTAAGTCACTTGTCCAATGTCACACAGTAGGGAAGGGCAAGACCTGAGGTTCAAAACCAGGCATTCCCACCCCAGAGCTGGCTGTGAACCACTCTGCTGGCTGCCCCAGTGCACCTTCCTTCCCCAGGTCCCAAACAGCCCTCCTGGTGCCTGCTGGCTACTCACATAAGTGGCCACGATGCTGCCACGGGCACAAGCCACGGACAGGAAGAGGAAGGGCGCAGAGCCCAGGAGGCCAGCAGCACAGACCAGTGGGTCAGCCCGGGGGTTGGAGTGGCGAAGGCGGCGGCTGATCTCCACGCCCAGGCCCACTCCCAGGACACCAGTCAGGCAGGTGATGAGCCCAAAAATGAGGCTGGGGGCAGAAGGAGGGACATGGGGACTGGTCTGTCCCCCTGCAAAGCCCCAAGCCTCACCCCTATGGCCTGGAGAGGCAGATGGCCCATCCCAGCCACCTCACAACCCAGGTCTATCGGGCCCAACACCCCAGGGTTCACTAGGTTCCTATCACCAACTTCCCGGACCAGGAAACAAACTCTGGGAGAGGAAGGCGGCTGGTGGAATTGAGACTCAAACTCTCCGTGTCTGAGCCTGGGCCATCCTCTTTCCACGCCACCCCTGCCGCCTGCAGCCCATCCATCCCAGCCCCCACCCGGGTACCTGTCAGAAGAGGAGCAAGAGTCTCCAGGAAGACAGGGCGGGGTCTCCCCCAAGACCACGCGGGAACGCAGCAGGAACGCAGGAGCCCAGAGCGCCAGGGAGCCCGTGACGAAGGCCACAGCAGTGAAGCCAAGGGAGGACAGGATGAAGCTAGGGCTGCAGAGACGGTTGGAAGGGAGGGAGTCAGACGCCACTGAGGGGTCAGGGAGGGGACTCTGTTCTCCCTTCCTGGCTGATTTTGCTAAGGTCAGGGCCCTGGGTATGGAGGCTGTCCCGGCTCCCAGGATCTGGGCCTGTAATTCAAGCAGCTGCTACAGGGGGCAGTCGTGACTGAATTACTGGCCCTGACATTGGGCCAGGAGATTGGAAAGAAAATGAAGACCAGCCGGGTAACTCCGTTGGTTGGAGCGTCTTCCCCGTATGCCTAAGTTATGGGGTCCGATCTCCAGCCAGGTCCCATACCAAAAGCAGCCAAGGACTGCATGAGTAAGCGGATCAACAAATCGATGTTTCTCTCTCTCTCTAAAAAAATGACGACCCCCACGTAAATTTCAACCCAGTTGCCAGGGCCAGGGCCTCCCTGGGGATCGAAGATGTGGGGTTAGGATGGAATTAAACTCACTTTCTAGCCAGCGCCCTCACGTCTGCCCGCCACGAGGTGGGGCTCAGGGGTGGTGAGTCCGAGTGGCGCTCCACGGCTCCCCTCGGCGGCTCCCGTACGACCAGGAACAGCAGCAGCACCGCCACCACCCCTAGACCCGGTGTCACCTGGGGAACGAGTGGGCTTCAGGACCGGCCCAGGCAGAGACACACCCAACCCTGGGGCCGGGAGAAAGGGAAGGCGGGCGTGTAAGGGCAACTCAGGCCCCAAGACCTCAAACAGGAGGGTAGGTGCCTGCTCAGGGAGCTGAGCTGCCACTGGGGGAGGGGGAGCGCTAGTGACCACTCCCATTCTGCAAGCCTGACTGCTCCTCCTTGGGAAACAGCACCCCAACTTTCTTTTGGGAAACCACTCCCCTGACTTCTCTAAATCCACGTGGTTCCAGTAGGGAGCACGGCCTGTAACCCAGACTTGGCCAACTTCCCCAGCCTTAGGGACTGATTCAGTCGATGTGACCCATGTTCACCTAACCAGGGTAACCCAGACTTGGCCAACTTCCCCAGCCTTAGGGACCGACTCAGTCGGTGGCAGGCATGTGACCCATGTTCACCTAACCAGACACTATCCAGGACTATTGCTCAAGGACTCCGGGTCCAAAGTTTCTAAACGGAGTGTTCACTTGCTTGAGAACAAAAGTAGCACAGAGGGAAGCAGCGCTCAGGAGGGCGATCAAACGCCTGTCTGTGGGCGCCTGGATCCGGCTGTACCTGAAGTTCCCCCTGGGCCTTCCTTTCTGAGAGCCAGTGCAATCCCATCTGGGTGCTTGCCCTTACAATGGGCTCTGTCACCCATAACCAAGAGTTCTGTCGAGCACATGGCTTTGTGGGGAGGGCAGCCAGGCCTCCTGCAGGCTTGGCAGAGTAAACGCTGCCTGAAAATGGGGTGTCTGAAGGTAAAAAGGGGGGAATCAGTGAGAACGTTGCTGACCTCCCCGCAGGCTGTGACCAGACTCACCCTCAGAGCCCAGTGCCAGTCCCCAGCCACATCCTTCACTTTGGAGCCTGCAATGTAACCCAGGCCACTGGGGGAAAGGGCGGGAGAGGAGGGACAGCTGGTCAGTCGTGCCCAATGCCAGCCCCTCTGCCTCCTACCAGGCAGGCCCGAGGCCCACTCACCTGCCCACTGGGATGGCGAAGTAGAACACGCTGAGCATCCGACTCCGCTGGTCTGCCACGAAGAGGTCAGCGATGAGGGTGGGCGCGATGGTGGAGTAACTGGCTTCCCCGACCCCCACCAGGCCCCGAGTCAGGAGGAGCAGCCAGAATTGCTGGGGAAGGAGACGGGGGTGGGGGGGTGGCACCCCACCCTACAGCCAGCCTCCCAGCCTACCTCACCAGCCAGTTCTGGAGAGGTGGCAGGGATGGTGGGAGAGGCCAGGGTTTTAGCATCAGAAAGACCTGAGCTTGCATCCTGGCTCCCCTACTTACTGGCTGTGACTCTGAGAAAGCAACGTAACCTCTCTGAGCCTCAGTTTCCTAATCTGAAAAAGGGGGGTAACAACAACTCCTTCACATAACTATTGGGAGGACTGAATAATAAAAGATCTACTCATTACCTTGTGCCCAGTAAGTGCAAAATAAATCTTAATTTCTATCTTGCCTACCCCACCAATAGTGTATAATCATCTTAGGTGGGATTTCATTTGTCTAGCAAAGACCCCCCCAGCTAGGGACAGGGTACGATCCCCCAAGGAGTGTGTTGTGGGTGCCTAGGGCTGAGGACAGAGTTCTGGGGCAGAGAGGAGAACAGACAGAGGAGAGTTTAAAGGAGCAAAGAAGCAATAGCCAGAGAGGCAGGAGGATGGCGTCACAGAGGTTAGAAGTTTCCGGAAGGAAGAAGTGGGTCAACAGAGCCAGAGGCTCCCAGGAGATCTAGTGAGAAGAGGACTAGGAAGTAGGAGCTACATTTAGCAACCAAGAGGTCCCTGTTGACTTTGGCAATGGAGCGGGGGCAGCTCCGCGGGTGTTCAAGGGCGAGTGGGAGAGGAAGTGCCAGCAAATGAGAGCCCCTCCCTGGCTGCACCTTCACCCAGACTGGGGCTCGGTCAAGGGGCCTTTCAGGAAGTCTGAGTAGGAAAGGGAAGGGGGACAGAGGGCGGTCTAGGTGAGGCCTTTTCCACGGGAGAGAAAGGAGCGCTAGTGTTTAGGTGTTGAGTGGAAGGAGTCACGGTCAGGGGGGTGATGGAGAGAAGGCTCTGAAAGAAACGGGGGAAGGACGGGGAGGGCAGATTAACTCAGGCAAGCAGCGGGTAAGATGGCAAGGACCAAGGAAGATGCACAAGTTCCCCGGCCCAGTCTGCCATGACTCCAAAGAA